GTTTTTGGAAGACTGCAACTTTTCACCAAAAGCTGGCACCAGCAAGCTGCCGACAGATGCATCTCCTGACTCGAAATGCCCCATCTGCTTGGATAGATTTGACAACGTTGCATATCTGGACCGCTGCTTGCATAGGTTCTGCTTCCGCTGTGTCCAGGAGTGGTCCAAAAACAAGGCAGAATGTCCCCTCTGCAAGCAACCCTTCTTTTCCATTTTCCACACAATCCGCGCAGAAGATGACTTTAAGGAGTATATCCTCAGCCCTTCAGAAAACAGCTCTTTTGCCAGCCCAGACGGACGGAGGTTCCGTTACCGCACCACCATGACGGGGGAGCGCCGCACCGGCAGTTCCCCCTCCCGAAGGACACGGTCCCCTCCGGATAATGGGATATTGTTTGAAGGGCTGTCGAGTGAGCCAGTGCGGCAGAGGGACGGGGAGATTCAGCAGATGATGCGGAGGCTGGCCTCGAGGAGGCAGGCGAGCGCGGAGGGCAGAGCCCTGCGGCAGATCCAGGAGGAGGACATGATCAGCTTCCGCAGGGCTCTGTACCGCACCGGCGTGCGCATCCGCAGCATTCAGGACGGTGGTCGCTATCGTGACATCTCTGCTGAGTTTTTCCGCCGTAACCCTGCTTGCCTTCACAGGCTGGTTCCTTGGTTGAAGCGAGAGCTTACGGTCCTGTTTGGTGCCCATGGATCTCTGGTTAATATTGTGCAGCACATTATCATGAGCAATGTGACAAGGTATGATCTGGAAAGCCAGGCCTTTGCTGATGATTTGAAGCCTTTTTTGCTGAATCGGACGGAACACTTCTTGCATGAATTCATCAGTTTCGCACGTTGTCCTTTTAACTTGGAAGCGTATGATCAACATGCCAATTATGACTGTCCTGCTCCATCGTATGATGAAGGAAGCCACTCAGACTCGTCAATTATTACAATATCTCCAGATGTGGCATATTCCCAAGGCCCAGATAATAGTTCCTCTGTGACTGATCTTGGTCAGGCCCCCTGGGATGATGAAACACCAGGGCCTTCCTATTCCATTTCAGAAGAGGCTCGTGCAACAATAGCTTCTCCTCTGGAGACATCAGAAAGTTCTGATGAGGACTCTGCTACGAAGAGTCAAAGAACCAAACTGCAAGCTCCTTCACAGGCTAATGCTGACTCAAACGACAGTGACTCTTCCTCAGACAATTGTGTTATTGTTGGGTATGTTAAACCATTAGCTGAGAGGACACCAGAAGTGGTTGAACTGTCCTCGGACTCTGAGGAGTCCATTGAGGAAGACAAAAGGGAAGATGTGAAGAAACAGCAGCCAATCCAGTGTCGCAGCTGGAGTGACAGTGAACCAAGCAGGAGTTTCTCCCCACGTTCCCCCACATGCAAGGAAGATGTAGGTAGCTGTAGAAGCTGCTTATCTCCTGCAGTTGAGAAGACCGAGTCAAAAGATGATGAGAAGAGCAAGTGTAAGGTAAAAGATCTGTCTCCACAAGATGTGAGCTGGAGCCCTTCTTCGGGGAGTGACACAGTGTGTTCCCCTTGGAATCACAGATTGTCTAGAAAGCGGAAGACCAAGAGCCCACAGTCCTGTTCACGGAACAGCCAAGGCAGTCATGGCCATCGGTCTAGGAAGGAGCATCGTAGCAAAAGCCAACTGAAAAGGAGACGATCGAGAAGCAGAGATAGCAGCAAACATAGGAGCAAAAGAAGCAGCAAGAAGTCGAGGGCTCATGACACCAGGTCCTCTCTAAAGAACCAGAGAGGCTCACTAAGTCATGAGAGCACTCCGTCCAGAGAATTGAGCAGATCACGATCACGCAGCAAAGGCCACAGCAAAAGGAGATCAAGAAGCAGAGACAGTGATCGTTATTATGTAAGAGACAGTTACCAAAGCAGATACCAGTGGGGTTATGCTTTCTGTAGTCGAAAGACATTTGGAGATGGCTTCGAATCCTCCAGCAGGAGGAGGACTCAGTCTAGTACTCTCTATTCAAGGCAATCTGCTAGTCCAGAATACAGAATACGATCGTTTATCGAAAGAACTCGCCCACATAGCCAGAAGGGGGTCCATGAGAGACACTACTACTGCTATGAAAGGTGCAGGTCAAGGAGTCGATCAAGCAACAGGTCAAGGACACCCTCAGGAGGAACTGACAGAATGAAAAGTGAAAAGCCTGGAGGAAAAAGGAAGTACAAAACTCGCCACCTGGAGAACACTTTCATGGAGAACACAAGTCTAGAAAGAGAAAATGACCCCAAGAAAACTTCCACAAAATTCAGAGACTGCTGCAAAAATGAAGATAGCCTCTCAGACAATCGAGCAAGCAGCGAGACAAAGCACAGGAAAAAGAAAAAAAAGACAAGGAGTCCAAGTGTAGAGATAGTTTATGAAGGAAAAGCAACAGACACAGCAAGGCATCTTAAAAAGAAAAAGAAAAAGCATAAGAAGAAACACCGGAAACACCACATGAGTAATTTGGCACAGTCTTCTCCGGTGGTGATCACAATTGATAGTGACAGTAGCAAGGAGCCTGAAAGTACTGAATGTGACAGCAGTGTTACTTGGACAGGCACAAGTCAGATAAATGAGGGGGGAAATGAGTCCCCACCTTCTTCACTAGGGAAGACAGGATGTGGGGATGTTTACAGAGTTGGTGAGGAAACTGAGATAGCAGCTAGGAAGAGCAGTGTTCCTACCAGCAGGGGAGACTTAGATGGGGATATTAAAAATGCTGCTGTCAAACCTGGAGAAGCAGCAGCTGATCAGAGTCTTTCCATGGCGGATGCTGGCAGTAGCACCCCTCAAACAGAAACTGTCACCAGCCACATTCCAGAAGCACCAGCAACTCCTTCCAGTCCACTGCCTTCCCCTAGGACTTCCTTCCTAGAGTGTCCAGAGAGACAACCGTTGATACTCAGACTGCCAAAGAGATTTGTCAGCAGATCCTCCTGGTTTGATTTTCCAGAAGAAAAAATGTAGCACACTTTCCATGGAAAACTTCTTAAAATTATTTGTTTTAACTACCTTTTTCCCTTTGAGAACAAAACCACCTGATGTGATTTGTGTATGTTAAAAGACATCTGGGAAATGTGTGAAACCTTTGTGTATGCACTTTTAAGTCAAAGAAGACAATATTGCTAGCACGTAACTTGTAAAGTTTTTCAGAAGCCTGTTTAGAAGCTCTAATTTCATAAAGCCATCCTTTATTGTTGTAGTACGTAAAGTATATCCACAGAGTATTTCAAAGTTTTGTTTAAAACCACAAAAAAAGGACCCCAAACCAAAAGCCAGAAAATGTGTTTTTCCTAGACAAAGGAAATCTGTTTGTAAGAAATTATTTAGGCTGAATGTTAAAATTTGAATAAAGCAATAAGACTCTTTTTTTTTGTAAATGAATTTAAATGTGTGGACCATATACTTTTCAAACAGAACGTTTATGTTTCTGTTTTGGCTGTCTTGGCAGTACATACCATTGGCTGTTGGTTTGTCAGGAGTAGTTCAGGTTGGAAAGGACCGTTGAATTTGTAAGGTCCCAGCTGTGACTGAAAACAGGAAAAACAGATCAGAGTGCACAAGATTTGTTCAGGTTCTAATATTGCCTAAGCTGATGGCCTCTCTGTGCTACCTCTGTTAATATTTGAGTATTCCCATGTTTCCAATTTTTTGGGGGGTTTCCCTTGTTGGAGTCTGTGTCTTCTACCTCACATCCTATTGCTGTGCAGTTCTGGAGGAGCCTATTTTCCTCTTCTGGATGCCCTTCCACTACATACTTGAAGATACCAGCCTTGTCTGCAGCCTTGGTAATAGAATAGCTTCTCCTGACCTGGCTTTGGGCAACTCTTAACCGAGCTCAGTTCACCCAAAATGTCCTGCTGCAGGTATGTGCCAGGCACAGGCTCAGGCTGGGTGGTCTTCTCCAGTTTTGGGCCTTCTCTGTGCACAGAAGCTCCTTTGTGGGCTGAATCAGGAAGCTGCCTTTTGTCTCTTCTGTATGACTGCCTCCATGAATAGTGGGGTTGACCTGGGCTGGTTGTCTGCCAGATAGCCACTCTGCTGCTCTCTCACTTCCCCTCCTCCACATGATGGGGGAGACAGTAAAATGGGAAAGCTCATTGGTTGAGATAAGGACAGGGAGATAATTTAATTATTACTGTCACAGGCCAAAGAAGCAGGGGACAATTACATTTATTTCTGAATAAAAATTGAGTAGGATGATGAGAAAGGCAAAACTAAAACCACCTTCTCCACCCTAATTCTCAGGCTCGACTTCACTTCTTCATCCCTGAGTCTTCTACCACCTCCTCCCCAGCAGTGCAGGGGGATGGGGAGTGAGCATAGCGGTCAGTCCGTAACATGTTTTCTCTACTACTCTTCCTTGTACCGTTCCTCTGCTCTAGCATGATTCCTCCCTGCAGGGTGCAATTCTTCATGAACAGGGTGCTTCAGCATGGGTGCCCCACAGGGTCACAGTTCCTGCCAGCACAGGCTGCAGCTCCTGCTAGGGGCCTGCTCCTGCGTGAGCTGTAGATTCCTCTTCAGGGCATCTTCACTGGACCTGGCATGGTGAATTCCACAAGCCATGGATATCTACTGTGCTGTGATGCCCCATGGGCTGCAGCACCACAGCCTGCCCCACCATGATCTCCAGAGGCTGCAGGGGTATTTCTGCTCCAGTACCTGGAGCACCTTCCCCCTCCTTCACTTATCTGCAGTGCTGTTTTGCTCCTGTTCTCATTTGCCCTTCACCAACCCCTGACCTGTAGCTGCCCCCCAAACCTCTGACCCACGTCTATCCCCACAAATCCCTGCCCCACATTTATTCCTCAACCCCAGACCTATAGCTGAACCCTCAATCCCTGATAGAGGGTTTTGGATGGATATAGGTGTTCGGGCTTTCAGCTGAGTGGAACGTCTATCCATATCTAGGAGGATGTGGGCTTCTTCATTGCCAGAAGTGACTTGTCAAGAGTTTGGGAGTGTGATGCTGTATTTCTGCATCCCAGAGCTGAGATGAAGAATGAAGACCAGCTGCAAAGCCTTGTTTTGTAAAGAGATCATAGACTCTTTTGCAAGATCCATGTACTTACATCACTTAATGACAACCTTAAAAACAAAATGACAGTTCTTAACCTAAGCTCTGACACTTTCCAAGAGTGGTTACCAGGTCTCCATAGACACTGAAACAAAATAGATTAGATGGGAGTTATGCAAGAACATGCATATATATGAATATGCTACAGCTGGTAAGTGAGCCTACTAGGGATAGTGCCATCCATGCTGGACTTACTGTTTACGAACAGGAAAAGGCTGGTGGAAGATGTAGTGGTTGGAGGCATTTGGTTGGAGAACAATTGCATTTGTCACGCTCTTATGAAAGCAACAAACAGCTGTTGCTCTAGGTCTGAAGATTGAAAGGAAAAGAAAGTTCTGATGATCCAGCAAAGTCCTATGAAGTGGTAGGCAGTTTTGCTTAGTAACTACATCAGCGCCTTATAAAACCTGTTTCCTTATTGAGACGACGTTTCATGCCTGCTGCGGTTAAATGCTAGTAAATGTGCTGCCATCTCGTGGTACTTGCTGTTTTCCAAGAGCAGAAGGCACAGCTGTGTGTGCTTGTGGCACAGACCGTGAGGAAGCAACGAGGGTAGCTGTGGTTCTGGAGCTTTGCACTTCCCTTCTACCTTGCAGTACTAATAGAAAATGTTATTTATTAAGGTTTCTTTGCAAAAATTCTGGCATTTTCTATTATATTCGTTGTCTGTGTCCAAGTTTTGGCAGAGGTGGGCTGCAGGACTGATCTCTGAAAAGAGGATATGGGTGCTTGCAGTAGGTCCTCAACAGGCCCACTGCAGGACACAGCTGAGCCCAGCAGCCAAGACAGTGGCACTTCTATTAAAATATATTTAAGAAGGGGCAAAACATCTCAGAGCAGTGTGATGAGTGAAGGAAAAAGTGTGAGAAACAGCCCTGTGAACACCAGGTGTTGGAGCAGGGTCAGCTCTGCAGCCCATGAAGAGGCCATAGTGGAGCAGATGTATCCCTGCCACCCATGGGGAGACAGCTATGGTGACACAGGCATTTCCTTGCACGCCATGGAATCACTACAGAAACAGATTGTTCTGGGCTATATCTTATTTTTTTCTAGTCTGCGTGGATTCAAAAGGTATTGGAAGAAGTTGCTTGAAAGTAAATCTGAAAGTATGACACATCACCACAAAGGTTCTTGCAAATAAAGTGACAGAAGATTTTCTATAATGTCTCAAAAATCATAGTGTTATTTTTTGGGAAGACTCAATTCTGAATTCTTTCATATCCTATCAGGGTTTAACTGGGGAGAACTGCACACCATGTGGCCCACTCCCAGAGTCATAAAAGTAAGCAGCAGGTGACATCTGCAGCATTCCCCTTTTGTTTCCTGTGTACAAGACATGCAACATTGGAATGCCAAATAAAGGATTTTGAGTCATCTTGCCACAGACTAATCCACAATAATTTGGGGATTAGGATGTTTATTTCTTCCTATTATTTCAAAGGTGGAAAGAAATGTTAGCACAAGGCTGCTGGTGTTTTGCTGGTGTAGCTGGTGCTGAACCTTCAGTGGGAGCAGCAAAGTGGAGATGTAGCACTGGTGGGTACAGTTGATAGAGCAGTTAATGATTCCAAAATTCTTCCTCTTGTGCTCCTTGCTTTGGACGCCACAGAAGCTTGGTTTGCATGTCACTGCTTTGTCTGTGCTCTCCACCTCCCTCTGGAAAAGCTCTTGGCAATGCTTTTGCTGATTGCTGGATGTTGGTCCTGAGGCATCTGCCTCCCGGTGAGAGAGGCCCAAGAAGCAGGGCAACAGCACATGGTGCTGGTGTTCGCAGAGTGACTGCAGGGTGCAGAGGGGCACAGGTGTGCTCCTGGAGGTGGGGCTGCTTAGAGGATGCAACGTGATGGTCTCAGTATGACGCAAGCCTTGCTGGCTGCCACCAGTGCTGCAAGTGCCCTGGCTTCCATCGATAGCACGAAGCCTTCTGCTCCACATGTGGAACTGCAACTGCAGAACAGGCATGGTGCCCTAGCGCTGATGAGGACAAAGACTCAGGAGGGGAGGCATTAGAGCCTGCTGAGACTGCACTTCACGTCTGCAAAAACTGGGAAAGAAAAGTAGCACTGATGGGAGGCTTCCTCCTGCCAGATATGGAGGCATCCACTTACTGACATGACCTGGTATCATGGGGGGGGTGGGGTTAGTTGTGCCTCCTGGAGGCCAGGATGCTGCAGAGAGACTGTCAAGGCTTGCCTGGCCTTCAGACTGTTACCCTGCTATTCTTCTACATGGGCCGCAATGATATCCCCAAGGAAGTAATGAAGTGTATCCAGAGTGCTTAGAGAGCTTTAGGGGAACCCACAAAGGGCCCTGGTGGTTCTTCTTTGATACTACCAGCAAAGCAAAAACACTTGAGTAGAAATGGACTCATCAGGTGGGTCAGGAACTCACTGCATGGCTGATTTTGCAGGCAGGACCTTGGCATCAGTGACCACAGGACCCTCTTTGAGGAACAAGAGCTCCTCTAAAGGTGGAAAATAAGAAAACATGAACAAAATGTATAGCAATATTTTGCCAGAAGGTGTTGTCTGATTCTGAGTCTACATGTTAGTATAATGTAAACAATATTTAGGTTTCCTGTGCAGACTTGCTGAAGCAGAAACCCTGAAATGTTCTTTGTCAGTGCCTTGCAGTGCCTTGCAGCTTTCCTTCCTCCAGGATAACTCTTATGAAAAATATGGGATACAGAGCAGAATAAGAAAAATTCATAAGGACAGCAGTATGATTTTTAAGCCTCATCAGTTTTTTTGATGAAGCTACTATTTCTGTGAATTTTCACAGAGTGTCCCTTATGTGGACATTTATGTGTACAAAATTAGATCAGATTTATAAAACCTTTCAAGTGAAAGTCTGTAGCATTTACTAGTGAATTATTTTATTTCTACAG